CTTCTCAGGGCCTTAGTGATGAGGTGTGTCCTGGATAGGGCGGGAGAGCCAGTGCACAGGAAGGCTTTGGGCTTGCAGGGGAGGGATCGTGGTAAGGTGTCTGAAGAACTGAAAGTGGAAAACACACAAGTGAGCTGTGAAGGAGAAGATTCCAGCTCAAGACTCGGGCCAGGCTGGGCCTGGGTGTCCTGGCCAAGCCACTTCCCCCTCTGTGCCTCAGTTTCCCTCTTGCAGGATGGACACTTATGCCCACCTCCCAAGCTTCAAACCAGAGCCAGACCCCGTCAGTCTTCACAGCCAGGATTCCAGCCCTGATTAGTGGCTCTGATGGCAGAAATTTACATGGCTGCAGGCCCTGTCTGCCCACCCAGCCAGCTGGGGTCTCAGGCTTTCAGGATCCTAAATTTGTCTCCCTGAACAGCCAGCGGGTCCCCAAAAGCTATCCCCAGAAGCTGCCCCAGCGTTGAAATGCAGGAGCAGGTGACCTGAGCTGGGATTTGCCCAGGGCAGCCTGGGCTCAGCTATTTTGAGCTCTCCTGTGGTCAGTGGGGCTGTGACGTCTGCGGAAGCTGTTTTGGACAAAGCAACTTTTTCCTCAGAGCAGCAAGGGCCCTGCCCCTGCAGGCAGGGAACTGTAATGTAGTGTGCGTGCATGTGTGTGTACAGGAGAGTGTGGGCACACGTGTCTCCTCATCTGGCCTGTGCACGTGCATGTGTTTCAGTGTCTGTGTGTCTGCACCTCTGTGACTGGGTGGCTTACTGAGGTCTCCCAGCTGGCACAGACCCCCCAGAGAGCCCAGGCACAAACTGGCTCCAGTCCCAATGCCCGGGGCATTTCATCTCCAGTTCCTCTCCTAAATTATAACCCATTCTCTGTCCTGGCTGTTCCATCTTCTTATCTGCACAAGAGGCCTGGGAGGAGAACGTGGGCCTCTGTGCCTATGGTCATGAGCATGTGGGGGTGTGTGTGCATTTCTGTGAATGGGCCCATGCTTGCGCGTGGGTGAGCAGCTGGGAGCCTGGGGGCCTGTTAGTGTGTACTTCCGAGTGAACTCTGTGTGCACGTGTGCGCGAGGGTGTGCACACGGGCTGTGAGCAACTGTGATGTATACAGAGGCTGTGAATGAAGTACTCTGTGTGTGTGCATGCACGTGTGTGTGTTTTTAGGGGTTTGTGTGTGTAGTTGGGAATTCCCGGGCTAGAGGCCAGGTCCTGGCTGGGGTCTGCTGCAAGAACACATGGGCTTCCCCATGCCCTGGGCTTCCCCACACCCTGGGCTTCCCTTCAGCCTTCCATTCCGAGGGTACTTGTGAAGGAGCAGGCATGCCGGTGGGGAGCATCCTGTCACCCCCATCTCAGAGTCAGGAGGGGATGCTGTGCCTCATCCCAGGGACACCCCATCCTCTTGGCCTAGGGGAGCATCCTGAGGCCACGGCCCCCAGCTCAGAGCCTCGTGTCCCCTGCAGTACGAGGCCATCATGGACCGTGTCCAGAAGAGCAAGCTGTCGCTCTACAAGAAGGCCATGGAGGTGAGTGTGAGGGTCCAGGACCACAGCCCCTCCTGCTGTCCTCCTGGCGAGGGACAGCAGGGCTCAGGGTGTGGTCCCCAGGAGCCCTGGCTGGGCATCTGGGACAGGCTTGCCTCAGACCTCCACCCAGCATCATGCACCAGCCTGCTGGGTGCTGGGGCTGCGTTGGACACCAAAGCCCCAAGTGGATCTGCCCAGGCCCCACCCTTGGGGGCTCCTGACTGAAGGGCAGGCAGACAGTTGCACTCAGTGTCCCCTGGGGTGATCCATGCTGTCTTTGAGGACTCTGGGGGTGGAGGGAGGAGGGACCCCTGAGTGCATCCCATAGGACACTGGCAAGAGGGGGAAAAGGGTTCCATAAGGGGGGCAGAGTGTGCAAAGGCCTGGCATCATGAAGCTGTGTGGCATTGTCAGGGACCATGCCCCTAAAGAGGCCAGGATCCTGGCAGCGCTATGCTGTCCCCACTAAGAAGGGGCCCGGGAACGAGACTGCCAGCAGCCCCCACCCCTTCTCCATCTCCTTTCTGGATCTTCAGGGCCCTGTCCCTGGGGAGGATGTCCCCACTCCACCCACAGACAGGGAAAGGGGAGGCTGGGCTCAGGGAGCCTCAGTCTGGGGGGCCGCAGCGTAGCAATGTGTGGTCCCCAAGTCACACCCCTCCCTACCCCCAGTCCAAGAAGACATATGAGCAGAAGTGCCGAGACGCAGATGACGCTGAGCAGGCCTTTGAGCGCATTAGCACCAATGGCCAACAGAAGCAGGTGGAGAAGGTACGTGGGCCACGGGGCCATGGGGCTCACCCCAGGGCTGGGGCAGGGTGGGAGGCAGGGAAGGGGCACCGCAGACACCCCCCAGGCAAGGTCTGCTTCTGGGACACGCTAGCTGTTCACCCCTCTCTGACCCTCAGACTCCCATCTGTGAAATGAGTTTCCTAGACTCTTAGGACATGGACAGGGTCAGTTTGATCCCCTTTGCCATCTCCAGGCCACACAAGGACCCACTCCTCAGAGCAGGCCCACTGTGGCCCAGGCCCAGAGCTCACAGGGCAGTGAGTGCAGACGCTAACCCTCACACAACCCTTGAAGAGGGGCTCAGTAGGCCCATGTCACAGAAAGGAAACTGAGGCCCAGAGACGGTAAGTGACTTGTCCAAGGTCACAAAGCCAGGAAGCAGCAGAGAAGGGATCCAAGCCCAGGTGGTCCAGAGCCCAAGCTCTTAACTGCTCTGGCCTCTGGGCCATGGTGGGAGTGTCAGAGCCACCAGGGCCCAAGAACATGTTGCCCATTGCACAGATGGGAAAGCTGAGGCCCAGAGAGGGGAGGGGCCTGGGGGAGAGGTGGGAGCAGCATGTCTGGGGCCAGAGCCCAAGTGCCAGCCAGTGGGTTCACAGTGGCCACACGGGCTGCGTCTGGCCCCTGGTCCACATTCTCCCTCCAGGTCTTGACAGCTGCTTTTCCAGTGTCTCTTCATGGGCTGGAGAGCCAGTGAATGATGGAATTTGCTCACAGTTGGCTCCTGATTATCTCGCTGGGTGGCTGGAGGGGGTGTGACAGTCACTTCAGAATAGCCCAGGGAGGCTGGGAGCCCGAGGGCTGAGGCCAGGTGGGCTCTGGTCCCCAGGGCAGGGGCTCAGCCCTGCTGTCCCTCTGTCTCTTCAGAGCCAGAACAAAGCCAAGCAGTGCAAGGACTCGGCCACGGAGGCAGGTAGGTGGGTCCTGGCCACCTCCCAGACCAGGCGTGGTGGCCTAGACAGGCCTTCTTCCTACCACGTCCTTCCCTCACCCCGGGGACACACCCCCACCTGACTGCACAGTCACACGCTGTCCCCTCTCATTCCACACATGGGCAACGAAAATAAACACGTGCGGCTCTCCCGCTGCAGAGACCACTCCTGTACACGTTTAATCCACACCACACTCCTATGAGGTAGCTGCTGCTATTATCCCTTTTTAACAGATGAAGAAACTGAGGCACAAGGAGGTTAAGTAGCTTGTCCAAGGTCACAGAGCCAGTAAGTGGTGTTGATGGCATTTGAATGAGCCCAGGCCACCTGACCCCAGAGCCCAGGATTTGCATGGCCACGTCCATGGCAGAAACCCACTCATCTCTCTGTCTCTCTGTCCCTCTCTCTGTCTCTCTCTCTCTCACATACACACACACACACACACACACACACGCAGGCTTCTCTGGGCTTCTCCTTCTTCTGACACCAGAATCCCCCCAATCTCCTCACCCCTTCTGACACACCTCCTATGACAGAGAGCTCACCCCTCCTCCCGTCCCCTGGGAAGCCTCTCTCCCTTCTGCTCTGCCTTTTCCAGGACCTGGCCACTCTCTTGGCTGGGGGACAGAGGTCATGACCCAAGCCTGCTGGGCTTGTAGCCCTACAGCTCCTAACGCTCCCCTCCACCCCTCTTCCAGTGCATGGCCACCCTCTCTGGGCCTCGGTTTCCCATCCGGAAAGTGAGGGGGTGGGGCCCAGGGATGGCAAGAGGTGTGGACTATAAACTTGTGTGTATGAGGCTCCACTCTGGCCCTCAGGCAGCGCAGAGCATAGTGGGGGAGCTGAGTCACCCTGAAAACAACAGTACCAGAGTGGGTAGCCCTAATAAGCCTTTGACGAGGCCCTACCAACAGCCAGGGCAGGTCCCTCTTGGGGAGGATTGGGCTCCGAGGACTTGGGGGAGGAGGGCCTTCCAGGAGGGGGCGCTGCAGGAGCAAAGGGGGAAGGAACTTGTGACATGGGGGTTATAGGGGGTGTCTAGGCCGCTGGGCCTCCCTGAGGGCCTCCTGTGCTTCCAGAGCGGGTGTACAAGCAAAACATCGAGCAGCTGGAGAAGGTGCGGGGCGAGTGGGAGCAGGAGCACCGGACCACCTGTGAGGTGAGCGAGCTGAGCCTCACTTTCCCCAGCTGCAAAGTGGGAGACACCCACCCCGCTCTAGCTGCTTCAGCAAGGACAGATGAGGCAGTGGGTCGGGGAGGTACCATCCATCCGTCCGTCCATCCACCCACATACACACCTTCACTCGCCCGCCGGGCCCTGCGCTGGGTCCTGCCCCGGGTGCTCACTGCCTGGCTTTGTGCCCTGGGTCCCTTTGTTGCAGGCAGTCATTCTTCAACCCTTTTTGCTGAAGCTGAGACTGAGGCTCATACAAAACCCACAGCTTCTTGAGCCCTGCTGATGGACAGGGCCGGCGAGACAGGGCTCAGGATCCAGGTCCAGCGCTCCTCTCACCACCCCCACTGGGCCTCTTCCAGTGGGAGGTGGAGCCTGGAGGGGGCTGGGGGCAGGAATCCCCCAGGCAGCTCAACCTCCTTCCTGGCAGCCTCAGGGCTGGCACAGAAGTGGGGGTGGGGACCTACAGGGAAGTCTTTCCTTTAGACGTGGCTTCCAGCAGAGCTGTGAGTGGGGCCCAGCTGGCCTAGCTCTGCAGCCCCCTCCTCACTTCTCACCTCCCTCCCACCCCCCAGGCCTTCCAGCTGCAAGAGTTTGACAGGCTGACCATTCTCCGCAACTCTCTGTGGGTGCACTGCAATCAGCTGTCTATGCAGTGCGTCAAGGACGATGAGGTGGGGGCTGAGGGCATTGGGGCATGTGGGGGGTAAGGAGAGGGCCGCCTCTGAGCAACAGCATGCCCAGGTCCATCTGTGCCAGTCAGAAAACACCTAGTCCTCTGTGGTCCAAGCCCTGGCCCCAGGGGTCTCAGACCTGAGTAGCTCAGCCTCTGCTCCCAGCACCCCGGGACAGGGAGCTCAGTACTGCATAGGGCTGCCAGCCTCTCTGCCCAGGAGACTGTGCTTCTGTGGTTACCCTGGCATCGCCTTCTCCTCCCCACCCTCTGCCCCCACTCCCTCCAAAGTCCCTGGCTCTGCTCTCTCTGTTGGAGCAGGGAGGGTAGGTGGACACAGCCCTTCAGAGGTCTGCTGCAGGCATGGTGCTTGTAGAAGCCCAAGTCTAGTCTCCTTTTAGCCCCGCACATCTTCAAGATATCCTGGTTCCCTTTACTGAGCCCAACATGCTCGGTGGAATAGGGTGGGTCCTCCCCAGCAGAGAGAGGCCACCCCCTACCCCCAGGGCCCTGACCACTGTCAGTGCAGCCACAGAGCCAGGAGCGCTCTCAGGCAGCCCTGGTTCCCTGATGCCCGCTGCTGCTCCTTGCCTGACCCCTCCTGCTCATGGCTGTGGGGTTTTGACTTTTTCTTTTTCTTTTCTTTTTTTTTTTTGGCCCACATGGTGCCTCCTCCTAGCAATGGAAGGAGTGTTGGCTCCGGATCCACTCATGCTGGATCCAAAGTCCAGCTATACTGCATTCTTCCTCTGTGACCTTGGGCAAGTCACTCTCCTCCTCTGAGTTTCCTCATCTATAAAAAGGGAAAACCGTGTGTACCTCAGAGGATGGCGTGAGTTAAGTCCCTTCCATAGGGCCTTGTGCACAGTAGGTGTTCAGGAAACAGAGGCAGCTGCCCGCCAGCTCTGACCCCTCAGGCAGGCCTGGGGCAGTCACACCCCCAGCTCCCTGACTACAGGCTCCGAGCTGAGCACAAAAGGCGTGTGAGGAGGCCAGTGGGGCGGGGGCCCTGGCCGGAGCTGAGTCCACGGGGGCAGGGCTTTGACCAGGGCAGGCATCGAGCTGAAGCCGGCCCTGCTGCCTCTGCTCTTTCCCACCCCCAGCTCTACGAAGAAGTGCGGCTGACGCTGGAAGGCTGCAGCATAGATGCCGACATCGACGGCTTCATCCAGGCCAAGAGCACGGGCACCGAGCCCCCAGGTGAGGCCCCGCCCAGCGGGCGGCCTCTGGGTCCAGGCCCGTCTGGCCCTAGAAGGCCTGGCCCTGGATTCTCTGAGCCTCAAATGCCATGACAGGGCTTGGGGAGCTCAGAGCTCCCTTCTGGGTGGAGTCTTGGCCAGACCCAAGGGAGGAGCAGGGGACAGTGCAGTCCCATGGCTGGGTCCCTGACCTGCTGCCTCCCCAGAGGCTAAGAGCTCTCTGTCACTCAGAGGGAAGGGGTGAGGATGGGGGTTTAGAGGTGGGAACTTCCCACAGCCCCCACCCCCAGACTGTTTGGTCCCACTAAATCATGAGTCCAGAATATTGTCTTGGTGGTACCCACAGTCCGGTCTCTCATGGAGTGAGAGAGGCCCCTCCCCGAGCACCAGGCCAGGGCCAGAATGGGAAAGTGGGGCCCCAGTCCAGGTCTCTGAACAGGGATAGGTTGGGGTATAAGGCGGCTCAGGTCTGGCCTGCCCTGTCCTTGGCTGCCCTGGGCATCACGGGCTTGCTATCCACAGCTCCGGTGCCCTACCAGAACTACTACGACCGAGAGGTCACCTTGTCTTCCGGAAGCCCTGGCATACAGCCATCCTGTGGCATGATAAAGAGGTAAGGCACCTGATGACCCTCTCAGGCCAGGACACAAAAGCTGGAGCAATAGTTGGGGGCAGGAAGTGGTCCAGCCTCTCCTCCTGCAACTGGCTCATCCACACCTGTTTATTGAGCACCTACTGTATGTCTGGTGTCCTGTTTAGGTGCTGGACACTCTGCAGAGACAAGACAGGCTCAATCCAGCCTCATGGAACCCTCAACCTGAGGGGACCCAGCATTAAACAAATAATCACATCCCAATTACTCACTGGCGACTGTGCTCAGAACTCTGGGGAGGCTGCCACGCCAGCTTCCTTGTCCCCTGGGCCTTGCTACTAGCCTGGGTTGGTGCCCTGGACTGCCAGGCTGCAGCGGGATGCTCTCCAACAGGCATGGGATCCGGGATATGGGAGCAGTGGCCCACAGCCAGTCTACTTGCAGAATCCTCCAGGCTGTTCCAGGGCCCCTTCCCTGGCCTGTCTGTGATTAAACGCCAAGGTCCCAGTGCCATGCCTCAATGTGTGAGTGACCTGGGCAAGTCGCCCACCCTCTTTAGGTCCAGGGCCCATGAGTGTTCGGGTCAGACTCAGAACTCAAGGACCTTCCTGTTCAGGCCTTGGGGGAGCCCCCTAGTAGCCAGGTTTCTGAGGGGCCATGTGCCAAGTCTCTGAGCATCTATGGGCATCTATGGGTTTCATATAGTGCCTGTGCCCCTGTGTCCACCCCAAGGCCTCCATGGCCTCCTCTCTCCACCAACCTTCAACAGAGGGCCCTGCCTTTGGGAGGTGGGGGATGGTGGGGAGGGGTTGATGTAGTGCCTGGCCCTCCCGAGGACTGGCTCATTTCCAAACCTCAGGAGCCCCTGGAGCCTCCTCCTCCGGCAAGCAGAGGCTCGTGGGAATCACCCGTGCTCAGAGAGGAGTGCACACACACCCCTCTGAGAAACGTGGGGGAGCTGTGACCCGGGAGGAGGCACATCCACACCCTCACGATGGGACAAAAACTTGGGGGACTCAGGCCTCCCTGCACCCAGGTGAAACCTGGATTCCAGCATAGGTGGTCATTTAAGCAACTGGATGAAAGAACTCACTTGGGACAGTACCAAGAAAGGGCTGTCCTGAAGAGGACTGAGAGAGAGAGAGATTCCATAGAGCGGAGGGAAGCCAGGCTGCTGGTCAGGGGCCATGATGGGGAAGCCACAAGCCGGGCAGGGTTGGGGAGGGGCAGGGGTTAGAAGCATAGACACCTCTGGGGAAAGGGGCCGTGGGGCAGGACAGCATGGCGGCCCAACAAGCCCTCCGCCCTTCCTAGGGACCTGCAGCTCTGCCCCTGCGCCCCCAGCTTTGACCCAGCGGGGCTGGCGCCCGGGACTGCACCTGTGCTCGCGCCAGGCCTTCCCGTGTGTGCTGCCACCCTGGGGCCTCGGCTCCCTGCCCCTCCCGTCCCACGTCGCATCACGGGCAGCCTCCTACAGGCCCGAGTCACGGCCGGCCCTTGGGTCCCTGCTCTGCATCTGTGCACCCCTCTCCCGTTCACGGGCAACGGCTTGCCCCCCAGCCTCACCTGCTGAAGCTTCACTCGGCCTTCGAGACTTAGCTCAGTCCCACCAGGACCCCCGCTGCCAGGCAGCGCAGTAGCCTCCGCCTCCGCCGGGTTGGCCTGTTACTGTTACTGTCTGCTTCGTGGGTGTCCGCAGCGTGTCTCATGCTGTTCCATTTTTCTCTCTTATTCAACAAACCTTCATGACGCCGGCTCAGTGCAGGCCTGAGCCAGGCCAGGGGCAGGGGTGAATGAGCGGAACCCACGCGGACCCGGGACCCCCCCTGGCTGGCCGGTCCCCGCGGCTGCAGGGAGGAGGCCGGGCTCGCTCGCACGCGGCGGGACGGAGGGGCCCGAGCGTCTCCCGTGTGGCTGCAGCGTGGAGGTCTCGGGCCCGCGAGGGGGCGCTGCAGGGCGCAGGTGCTGAGACGGTCTGCAGGGGAAGTGGGAGGGCGCTGCCGGGGAAGGAGGCGCCGCTGGGACCACACGTTAGGGAGCCCTCCTGCCTGAGGGGCACCCCACCAATCACGTCCATGCCTGGAAGCTAGGGGTGGCCCCGCCCTGGCAGAGGCGGCCCTGGAGCCCCTAGAGTTGTCCCTGCCTAGTCTTCCCTTCTATTGGCGCCCGAGGGACCTTGAGTGCCGGGCGAGGGGACCCACTCTCTTTTCTCTCTGCCTCCAGGTTCTCCGGGCTGCTGCATGGAAATCCCAAGACCGCACCGTTGGCAACTCCTGCTGGTAACTGCGGGTGATGGGGAGCCCCCAAACACACTGTGGTCCCAGGGGAAGGAGAGGACTCCTCCGTGGCACAGATGGGGCCACTGAGTCCCCAAAAGGGGAAGAGTGTGTCCTCCAGCAGCAAGGGGGCGGGGAGGGGCGAGGCAGGGCCAAGCCGTAGAAACTCCACCCAGCAGGGCCTCCGCAGGCCCAGGCCTCACACTGCTCTCAGCCTCCACAGAGACCCTGACCCCCGCCCCCGAGCGGAATGAGGGCGTCTACGCGGCCATCGCAGCGCAGGAGACGCCGGGAAAGCCCTCGGCGCCCGCCCGGGACTACCGCGCGCTCTATGACTACACGGCGCAGGTGAGGCTGTGCGCGCGGGTGGGCACGTACGCCTGGGCATGTGCTGGGGGACAGCACTTAGAACAGCACCCAGCGCTTAGGGGCGGCTCCGCGCATCCGCTGAATGAACGCAGGTGAACAGGTACAGGGGCGGGTCTGCTCGAGTCTGTGCGCGCACCCATGTGGGGCGTGTGCGACTGTGCTGTCCCCCGCGGGCTGGGCAGCGCGGGTGCCCGTGTGCGCGCGCACAGGTGCCCACGTGCAGGCAGGTCGGCAGAGCCTGGGGCTACCCGCAGGCAATGGTTTGGGGTCTGGCTCTGCACCCTTGGGTCAGGGCCTTGTTCTCCTGGCCATTGGTGCTGAGAACCATCAGGGCCAGTACGAGTCCTTCAGCCGTGTTGGGATTGACTTTCTGATGCCCACGGGAAGAGGGTGGGTCAAGGCAGCCACAGGGCAGCTGAGCCGAGATCCTTGGAGAGTCCATTAAGCTCCCTGCTTTGACGGACCCCACATCCACCTGGACAGAGGCCAAGCATCCCCACACGACTAGGCAGGCAGGGTGTGGCTGCTCTGACCGAGGCCACGGCTCAGGGATGCAGGCTCCCAAAGCCTAGTCCCAGGCAGGGCAGTCAGGCCGGAAGAATGAAGGGTGCTTGCATGACAAGGACTAGCTGGGGCTGGGGACACTCTGGGGTCACCAGCAGTTGGGAGGGGGAGGGCACACTGCACGTGAGCCTTGGAGTGACAGCGTGCCCTTGGGCTCGTATGGAACAACCCTGACCCCCAAGGTGCCCTTGTCACTGTATCTGGAGCAGAGTGGGAGAAGGGAAAGCCCAGGTTGGGGGAGGCCTACAATGACAAACGGAGGGACACAGGAGGCCAAGTCCCTTGGGGTACCACACATCCTATACATCTTCAAGGGCTGACCCAGGAGACATGGGCATGTCTCAGCTGGCCCTGCCCACCCTGGGAGGCAAGCTGGCATTTACTGCTGGGGTGGATGGAACGCCAGGCCAGAGCCCTCCCGGCAGGCTCCTCAGCCTCAAGCAACTTTCCATCTCTTGCCCAGAATTCTGACGAGCTAGACATCTCTGCGGGGGACGTCTTGGAGGTCATCCTGGAAGGGGAGGATGGTTGGTGGACAGTGGAACGGAATGGGCAGCGTGGCTTTGTCCCTGGGTCCTACCTGGAGAAGCTCTGAAGAAGGGACAGCAGCCCCCACCTGGACCTGCCTGGCCTGTGGAGCCAGCAGTGCCCCACCACCAACCAGGCCTTGCTGGGGCACCAGAACTGAGCCTGCCGCCCCCTCTTACCCTCCGGGATGGGATGGGTGGTGGTTGCTCCCAGAGGAGCCTTTCCCCTAGGGAATAAAAGTGCATACTTTTCTCCCTGGTCTGCTGAGGTCCCTTTCTCTCTTTCTCCTGCCCCAGTGTCCAAGTACTCAATCCAGAGGCAGCAAAGGAGAGAGAGGCGGAGTCTGAGAGAGGAAAGCTCCCCCTCTCTGAGACAAATCTCCAGCTCTAGTCACTGAGGCCCAATTCCATCCCACGTTCTGCTGGGGACAGAGGAGGTGGCCTGGCCCCCATCGCTGGAAACTCCCACTGTCAGGGAGAAACACTTATCCCTGGGCAAACAGAGGAAGGATGCAGGGGAAGGATGCAGGGGCAGGTGCGAGAAGGGGCTCAGAAGGGCTGGGGCAGAAAGCTCAGGCTTCCCGGGCACAGAGGGACTGGAGGGGGGCTTGTACTGGCAGCAGCAGGCAGGACGGGGTGAGTGTGCGAGCACAGGGAGGAGGTGGGAACACCAGTTTAGAACAGGAAGCAGGTGATGGGTCTGTTGGGGGCAGAGGGGCCATGGTGAGGAAGACAGACTGAGAAGCTTGTGGGTGGAAGTGGTCCCCATGGCCTCCTGTCCCACCCCCTGCTGTGGCCTGAGGAAGCCACCACTGCCTGTGATGCTGCCTCTCAAATGCAGCACACCCTGCCCAGGCTCCAGCCATGCTAAGGCTTTGGGCATGGGTGTGGGGGACAGGGCCACTGGGACCTGGCAGCTCCTCAGTCCTGGGCCTCTCCGGGGTGAATGGCTGAGCTGGCCCACCTCACACTCACCTGCAGGCTCCCCAACACTCTGCCAGCACAACAGGCCAGCAGCCCACCCCGCCTTGGGGCCAGACCCAGGGGCTACAGGGGGTGGGGTGGGGACACGCTGGTTCTCCTCCACTGGGCACACTCTGAGATAAACTGGTGAAGGGTGTTCCTGCTCCCCGTAGACCGTCTTTCCCCGGCGCTGTTAATTACTTCACTTACACTCATTCATACACCTCTGTGGACTGTTTGCTACGGACCCAGCTCCGGCCAGGCTGAGGGAAGGTAAGACGCATAAAGCCTCAGTCTCTTGCTTTCTTCAAGGAGCTCTTGACCTGTAAGTTGGACAGTACAGGACATGTCCCAAGGTGCGTGGCTGTCATAGAGGCTTCTGGGGACAGGTGGCCATGAACAAGCAAAAAACACAGGATTCTTTCTGCTCCTTCCTGCCTTTGGCAGCTTGACTGTGGGCAGGGAGAGGATTCATGCACGTGACAGAGAAGGGAGGGAGGTCATTGGAATTCCCCAGGATTTAAACTAAACGAGACTTGGGAGAATCTAATCCCACCTCCTACACGATGTCCTCCCCGTCACTCCTGGGGACTGGGCACCCCAGTCGGCTTCAACATCTCTGGTGACGTCCCTATCATTCCCACAAAAGAAGCCCATTGTGAACTTCCCACTGGTCCTGGCTCTGCCTGGCTGGCCACCCACCTGGCGGCAAGTAAACGGAGGACTATCCCACATGCGCAGGCAGATAGCAGATGCCACAGTGGCAAAAATGAGGCCTTTGACCAAGTCCTGCCCTAGGCAGAGGGCAAGAAAGTGGCTGGTAAAAGGGGGCTGCTCTGGCATTTAATGCAGACACCCATCTTTATACCCTCAACTTCGTCACTTGAGCAAAGCAGTGGGTTTAAATGACTGCTGGAAGAGGGGAGTGCCTCCGGACTGTGGCCTCACCCACATCTCAGGTGTGTGGCACTTCACAGGTCTGCAGTGCAGTGAGAGGGTGTTTCACCGCCCAAGTGATGTGCCCAAGTGGAGGTGCACAGGCACGAGGTGGCCCTGGAGTGCAGGTGCAGAACCCCAGATGCAGAGCTGAGGACCAGGCTGCCAGCTGCTGCATGTCGCCCATCACTGCTTCTCAGAAGAGGGGGTGCAGCAGACGGAGTGGGAAAAGGCTTTGGGCCTCTGGAAAAAAAATCAGACTGATGCTTAAGCCCTTCCTGAAATGTCATTTTCCTTCATAAAGCAAGTCTTGTAAGAGAGGCCACCAGATGCCCACACCTGGCCCTGACCCATCTGACGTGTACAACTAGGGATGTCTGGAGGGAAAACACAGTCTGGTGCTTGGTCTTATACTCCCCAGAAGGAGAGAGAAGCCAGTGAGTAGACTTGGCAATGAAAAAGCTTGCCTGGGCCAGGAATTTTGCCCAGGACACACACCTCAAGCCCTGCCAGGTCCAGCCAGGTCCCAGGACTGCCAGGCAACCCCACAGTAATTCAACTGAGAGATGCTGATGACTTTTGTATGACTGGCACTGCATTTGAAAATGGGGGGTTGGGGGGTTGGGAAAATTGATGCTAAGATAAAGGGTACCCTCAGAGCTCACCCTCTGACACAAGGCAGACAAGGAGAAGGGCAAGAGCCAGGTGTGGGTTGTTCAACACAGAGAGCAGGGTGGCTTGTCTGGGGGGTGGCAACAGGGCTGGAGAGCAATTCTGGAAGAATGTGGGAAGGGGCTTGGCAACTTACAGGATGTGAGACGCGGTGGGAAGAGTGGGAAGGGAGGAGATGGGGAGTGATTGCTGAGCTGAGCCCTGAAGATGGGCAGGTCTTCCCCAAGGGGAGGAGGAGGGGGAGGAGGAGGAGCAGCAGGGACAAAGCCTGAGCAAGGGCCCAGGAGAGGCAGGACAGCCCAGCAGACTGACCACTGGGGTCAGATCACATATGGGCAGCAAAGAGGATAGAAAAGAATAGTTGGGTATCAGTGCTTTATTTATTCCTTGAAAATACCTTGTCATCTTGATTGAGCATTCCATTCCACTGCAAAGATTTTTTTAAAAACCTTTGGCCTAGATATTTATCATCATCTCTGACAGGTGCTGCAGTGTCTGTGGGTCCCGCAGGGTGATGGGTAACAACTGTTAGATAACAGAGCCTATGCTCCAGTCGTTCAGGCGGCCAGAGAACAGAACTGAAAGCCACTCTTAGGTCACAATTTATACCAGGGAAAAAACCCCACAAATGAGTCTAAGTCAGATTCATCGCCTCTGCCGCTTTCTCCACTCTCTTGCACACAGGTCACAACCTCAGTTGCCGGGAACCAAGTGCATGGAGGATGGCCTTCCCAGCAGAGGAGATGGTACCAGATAAAGAGGGAGTTGGCATGTGTGTAATTGGGTGTATAAATAACTGCAGCCTCTTCCTGACAGAGGGCCGCTCAAAGACAGCAAGGAGCAGGAGGGGAAGCATGGCCTCTGAATCACAACGGCAGGGTCTGAATGCAGGCTTGCACTTCCTTGATTGGGCTTAGGCAATTCCCTATTTCTCTGGGCCTCAGTTTCCTTATGAGTAATATGGGTGCAATATGCCTGTATGCAAGTTGCTAAGCCTATAATGTTCAAATTAAATAATGGATGGGCCGGCCCGGTGGCACACTGCTACAGTGCACCGCTTGGGAGCGCAGTGGCGCTCCTGCCGAGGGTTCGGATCCCACATACAGACCGGTTCCCGCTCACTGGCTGAGCGAGGTGTGGGAGCAACACCGAGGGTTGCGATCCCGTTGCCGGTCCCGGTCCGGTACGGGCGCGACACTGAGGGTTGCGACCTGTTGCCGGACACGAAAAAAGACAAAAAGGAAAAAAAAATTAAATAATGGTTAAGTGATAATTAAAAGCAAAGGATTACCAATTCAAACAAAAAGGCCCACAACCTCCAATCTTGGCTATACTCAACGGCAGCCTTGAGCTTAGCATCATCATCCCCACTCAGCACGCCCCCACCCAGCTGTGGTTACACCAGTGAGTCCCCCCAACGTCAATGTCGATGAAGAGAAACAAGCCACCATTTGGACAAACTGGATGCACACACCACTGGTGTCCAACACCCAATTCCAACCACTCTTGCACAGCCATTCCTAGGCTGGGTGACCTCAATTTAAGGGTTGCCTGTTCAGGTTGGTCTGCTTGATATAATCCCTGGCGTGTGAGGCAGCAGCACAACTCCAGAACAAGGTCACCACCAGCAAGCAGGCTCCCTGCCCTCAGCCCCCTCAGACTATCAGTACCACAGGGACACGGCTCAACAGAGCCCCCTTAGGGCCAAACGGAGGAGAAAGGGGCCCCCACTCCATTTTGCGCTCTGCTGGGTAGTTTACATATCAGACTAGCAGTGGTTCTCAACCCTGGCTACACTATGGAATCAGCTGAGAAGCTTTCAAAATGCTGATGTTTTGGTCCCACCTTAGAAAAACTGAAACTGAATCTCTGCAAGCTGAGCTTGAGCATAAATATTTCAAACGTTCTCCTGGTGATGCCAATATGCAGCCAGGGGTGAGAACCTACTGGGTAATGGGTTCTTCAGCTAAAAAAAAAAAAAAAAAAAG